TGTGCATCTGTGTGTGTGTGCATCTGTGTGTGTGTGCATCTGTGTGTCTGTACATCTGTGTGTGTGTGTGTGTGCGTACCCATCTGTGTGTGTGTGCATCTGTGTGTGTGCATCTGTGTGTGTGTGCCTTTGCCTCTCGTTCTCTCAGATGTCTTGAGTAACAAGCACGCTGTGGTGAGTCCTCCTGCTCAGAGCTGCCCTCTTCACAGTCTTCACGTTACCTCTGCATTTCTGTCCCCATCCACTTTCTCCTAGTAAGTGTGCCTGCGTGTAAGAGGGCTACAGTACCCATGCTTCCTGTGTCCTAAGGTGTGGCATTTAGGTCTGAACGTGTGTGGTCAGTTTCCTCAGTCATAGCTTTCTTCCGATCACTCCTCGGATCAAGCCTGGGGTCGGTTATGACAAAATCACTTATGCCCATAGGTGCACCTGCCCTTACTCGCTGATGCCCCTTGTGTACCTGGAGTGCTGTGTGGTAAAGCTGAGTGTCCTGGCTGTGTGGCACTGGAGAGGCAGGGCGACAGGCTGTGCTTGAGCAGCCCCTCTGGCTCTGCTCAGTAGAACCCGAGTGACACTAAGGCAGCCTGCCCATCTGTCCCTTGCAAGGTTTCTAACTCAGTAGGTCCCCAGGGAGGGATAAGGCATGCTTGATCGGAAATCCTGTGGATCCGGGGCTCTGTCTGACTCTTGCTCCTCACAGACAAGCACACAAGTGTATTTGTATGTGTCAGGTCTGACTCCCAGCCCTGTTCTCTTCTGAGCCAGAGACGGCTGCATCCTGGGCTATGCTAAGCCTCCTCCTGTGCCTTGTCCTAGTAAGATACACTTTCTCAGCTCTGAACTGTGTGCTGTGCCGGCCCCTCCCCCTGCCCATGGGAAGCAGGGGATTCACATTACATCCTGTGTCTTCTTGGTTTCAGGCATCAGCAATGCAGAGGCGCGGCAGCCAGGGAAGGCGCCCAACTTCAGTGTCAACTGGACAGTGGGCGACACTGCCATTGAGGTGATCAATGCCACAACAGGGAAGGACGAGCTCGGCCGCCCGTCCCGCCTGTGTAAGCACGCGCTGTACTGTCGCTGGATGCGTGTACACGGCAAGGTACTGAGGCGCCCTCGCTGGGTGTCGGCCCACCTCCATCCCTTCCATCCCTCCCGGCTTCCACCGTCGGGTCCTCATTGCAGCCCTCCTAACACGATCATGTCAAAAGAAATCGTATTTCTTCAGACTGTTGCTAGCTTAAGAGTATGGCCCTGGTTCCAGCCTAAGAGCTGCCTCAGAGTCAGCGTCCTCCCTTCCCTCTAGTCTCAGCTGCTGCCCCAGCCCTGGGGAAGGAGATTACCTATCACGAAAAGGAAGGGCAGTCAGTGAACACTGCTGCACCAGCTTCTGTTCCCTTCATCCAGGATCAGAAACTTACCTCAGCTGCAGAGCTCTTTACCCAAGTAAACCCAGATAAGGCAGGGTGACATTGGTTCTCAGCTAAGCCAGGGATACGGGTTTTATTATTATTATTAGGACAGCTCAGTGCAACAATATAGGGCTCCCCTGTACTGAAACCCCCCATCCTCAAGGGGACAGACAGATGCTATCTTGGTGACCCTATCCTCTGGGATCTGCCAGAAGCATAGGTCTGCTTCTATCTGCAGCTGTCTGTCTGACCAGCAAGCCACTGCTTAGAGGTTAAACTGAGCCTTAGCCCTGGCCTCCTGCCGGTACCATTCCATCTAGGAGAGAACCTTCTGTTTGTTCTTTCACAAGCCAGCCCAGCTCTGAGCATCCTTTTTTGAACGTCACGCCAGGTTCTTGTCTCTTCTGCTGCTGCTCCAGTAGTTGCTTTACATGTGTGTGCATGTGTCCTTCCACAGGTTCCCCCCCACCTGCTGCGCACCAAGATCACTAAGCCCACCACATACCACGAGTCCAAGCTGGCCGCGAAGGAGTACCAGGCCGCCAAGGCACGTCTGTTCACTGCCTTCATCAAGGCGGGGCTGGGTGCCTGGGTGGAGAAGCCCACAGAGCAGGACCAGTTCTCCTTCACTCCCTGAGCCAGGCGGGTGTCGAGCACAGAGTGTGAGGCTGTGGTGCCGAACCGTCCCCCAGAGCCTTGCATCTGAACTGGGACAGGTGTGCACCTCGGGGACGGCACGGGGAGTCTGGGGGAACCACTGGACATGAAGCATCATCCCCGGCAGCTCTCACCCCAACAGGGCAGCGTGGGGATGTGTAGGGTGCCGGGCGCCTCACATCTGAGTAGGGATGAGGTGCACAGTGGGTGCACGGGGGCGCAGGGGCCCATCAGCACCCCTTGCCACACATTTCCCCTCTCGAGCTACCCAGTGACCGTTTTATATCTCAGTTTACATTAGACCCCGAGTTCTACTGAGTAGGGCTTCCACAAGTGTAGGAAAATAGAAATTACTTTGTGTGAGATTCTTGAATAAATAATTTATTCAGAGCTAGGAATGAGATTTATAAAATAAGAAGTAATTATGTCAGGTCACTTTTATGCCACATTATTTTAATTGCAAAAAAAAAAGAAAAGAAAAAGAAAAGAAGCGTTTCTATGTGAAAGAGCAGGAAACTATAGAGGTAGGAAGTAGAGCCGCCACGCGCACGTCTGTGTGGGGCTCCTCTCCGTAGGTCCTTCACACCCAGTAGGTCCGCACAGTAGGTTTTAACAGCTCTCCTGGGGCAGCCCCAGCATGATATGGTGTGACCTCGGCACACATCTGGCCCTGCATCTGGGATCCTGTGTCCTACAGAGTCAAGACCTAGGTTCTGCTGCCTCTAGAATCGCCCACGCTCCTGGTTAGGCTCAAATCATGGAAAAGTCTATTTGCTTCTAAGTAACTGAAGATGAAATCTGTCCATAGCCCACCTGGGCTAGCCATCATTTAGGGGTTCTAACCATATAGGTTTTGTGACCTAGAGGTACTCAGTAGGGCTGCTTACGCAGTCAGAGCACAGCCCTCCTTCTGCCCCTCCCTTGGGATCTGGTGGGTAGGAGCCACTGAGCGCTCAGAAAGCTTCACAGGATGGGAAGAGTTGTAAGCAGGTACCGTTCTTGTTGGAGCATCCCACATAAGGTATTCCTTCCAGCTTTATCAGACACGTATTTGAGAAGTAAAACATTCAGGTTGAAGCTGGTGGGACAGTGTAAGCCTGGAACGCTGCAGACCAGACATTGGTGTCTCCACAAGCAGGCCTGGGTGCTCCTGGCATCTCGGGGTTGAACCCCAAGATGCTGCCTAGCACCCTTTCTGCACAGAGTGGCACCCAGGGCCCTGGAGTGGACACCTGGACCTCCTGTGTCAGACTTGCCCCAGGTGCCTTGTTGTTTCCACTCAGGATTAGGGAGGAGTAGAGGGAGGAGGGGCTGTGGCTGTCTGCTCAGTGTGCCAACCTGGTCCAGCAGGTTGCTCTGAAGAGCTTCAGGACCGTGAGCAGAGAAGGTGCAGACTCACCCCTCAGCACACATCTGCCATGGCTGCATCCAAAGCTCTGACAGCTGTGTGGCTCCAAGCTGTTCACCCAGGTGTTCGTGTCCTTGACACACCGAGAGAGAAACAGAATGAGAGCATAGCCACTGTGGGTTCCACCAGAATCCCAGCAGGCCTCAAGAGGCTGTGTGTCATTGCCTGTGTGAGACTTACCTGTGTCTCCATGTCAGGAGCCCTGTTGTGTCCTTGTGGGTGTCTCCCAAGGTTCTCGTCCTGTGGGGCTTGATCTTCGAGCCATGAAGGTCCTACCAGAACTCCCTAGTGACACGTGCTATCTCGGATCTCCTCAGATCGCCACCTGCCCCCCTGAAAGGGAGCCCTCTCAGGCAGGATTTCTGGGCCTTGTGTGCCATGGCAGGGCCACCTTTGGGTAAAATGCACTGGGGCTCCTTAGAGAAATGGTCTCATTTTATCACAGTACCACACCTCCCCCCACAGGCTCCTGCACTTTCTAGAAAGAAAAACACATGCTGGTGTGTTCTTACTCTTGCTTTTAAATCATGTTTCTTCTAGTGGAGATGGGAAGATGGATTTTGTTTGTTTTTAAGTACATTTTGGTTAGAAAGTATAGCAAAAGTATATTCTATATACAATAAAAACCATGCTTACATATGGCTTCCCATGTCAGATAACAAGGGCGCCCAACCAGGAAGTGAATGCTACATGCACAGAGCATCTGAAACCATGGGGGCTGGTCCTGCTTAGACTTGACCTAGGCCGGGAAAGGAGAGAAAGGAGGCACCCTGTGGTGAGGAGGCAGCAGTCCCTGCACCCAGGATACGGTAGCTCGACAGCCCATCTGTGACCAGAGAAAAAGGAAACAAATACTAATTTAAGACACTAAGCTCTTCTAGCCTCTTCCCGAAGGTCCCCATGATGGTGTCGTTCACTCCCAGGATCTAAATGTCACAGACTCAGCAGAAAGCTTGACACACCAAGACACATTTCCCTGATGGAAATGTCTTGGATACTTCAACAGGTAAAGGACAGGAGCTTCTCTGTTCTGTGTGCCTAGCTAAACCCGAAGGGTTAATTCCACAAAGCAGTATCCCTCGGGGTTATTCAGGCCCATCGTCCGCGGGGCAATAGCTGCACAACAGGAAGGTGTGGTTGCTGGGAGTCCTGGGTGGGGTGTCTTGTTTCTACAGAGCTGAGGCTCTCTACTTAGATGTAGGCAGGGTGAGTGTGGTGCCTCTGCCGTTAGCCCTGACCCCTTCATGGTGTCAGGAGGTAGCACCTCTCCTAGCAAGGGACACCAAAGAACAACTTTGAATCTGAGTCTTTCAACATTCTATTTTGAAGTTTTTTTTTTTTTTTTTTTTTTTTTAGTAATTAAAAAAATATTTGTAAGTGTGCAGGCCATTGTCTCACAAGGCATGTTTGTTTTATCCCCCAGCTCCTCTTGCCTCCAGACTGTACATGCTGCTTGGTTTTTAAACTTTAGTTTCAGACAGGTGCACCTGGGCAGCCACCAGAGGGTCAGGGATGTGGGGTGAGGTGCACATCACCCTGCGCCAAGAGTAAATACACACAATGCAGGAGCAGCTTGTCACTTCCAAAATACTTTACTCCAGAAATGTCAGCTCTTCCAGTCAGAATTTTGCTCCAGAAAGAGAAATAAAAATGAGCTGAAATACAAACCTGTAAGTTCTTGAAATTAGGGAACCTCTCAGAAGATCCCTTCATCTCGTCAGCCCCAGACCACATCGTGAGAAGGGCAGTGTATGCGTTCAGTGTGTACAGCTTGTGTGTGTCCTTGTCTCTAGGCATATCTATCATGTGACAGTCTCCCCAAGGCTTAGGGGGTGGTCGCCCACTCTGTAGCTTTGAACTGCTCCACACTGGGACTAACTGGGTCCATGAGACATTAGGAAATTGGAATTGGGAAGCCTCCGACCCGCCAGGGACTGTGAGGGAATTAGTCCCATGGTCTGACCAATCACGGCTGACTCCTCAGTGCACTCTTCGTTCAGTTCCTGGGGAAATGTTCAGTCTCTGTGGTAGTGCCTGTACTTTCTGTTAGCTGTTTGAATGCAAGTGCCCAGCCTCAGAAGCACTTAACTGTAGCCACAGCGGGAGCTGATGGTGCAAACGGAACTGATGGGCCATTCTTCTGAATGGAACACAGCAGGTTAAAAGCACAGTTTGTGGAATGTTAACGGGATAAGCCCCTAAAAGCTGTTAGCTTTTCCAGGCTTTGAGTTATATACTTTTAATTTGATTTTAAAGTTTGGACACTTTTACATGAATGTAATTCAGCCGAGAAACGTGTTGCTAAGATACAATCCTCAGTGTTCTCTGTATGTATATTTATGTATATACCACATGTTACAGCCTGCATGAGCTTCCTCACACCGAGCCCAGCCGGAACTGAGCATGAGACGCTGTCACATGTAGACAAAGGACTGAGATGTTCTCAATAAAGACTAAGACGTTTCACTATGACCTGTGTGGACATTTTCCTTTTCACGTCGTCCTCGCCTCCCTTGCTTTCGATCGTGACTTGAGAGGTGTGGATAGCTGCTCTTGAGTGTGTCTGGCCATGTCACCTCCTGTCCACTGTACCAAGTGCTCGGCGCATTCATCCGCCTCTCCTACAGGGTGCTGTAGAAGGAAGGACATTCATGATTCTGGGGGGGTTGGCTACAAGACTGTTCTAGTGTGGTCTTGAGAGTGTGTGTATTCTGTAAGAGAGCATGTGAGCGAATCTACCAGGAAGGGATTCGAGCTGTGGAACCTAGGATGGCTTTTCGTGTCCCGTTGAAAACACCTATTTGGTTGATCTGTAATTAAATATAAAATAAATATAGAAGTGTTTTTTAAAGAGTCAGAGTCGTGTGCACCATGTGTCTTTTAAAAACAGCACAGTTAGAGACACGGCCTGCTTCTCTGCTTTGGAACTGGTCAGGGAGTAAAACCAGTTCAGCTGAGAGTTTGACTTTCTCTACTAAGTGAAACACGTTTGTCTTCCGTTGTTTATCTCAGGCTGAAAACAGGGAAAGCCAAAATGGAGGCAAACAACTAACTGTTAAGTGTAAACTGTTAACCTGTGTGACCTAACAAAGCCAGCTGCCTCTGCTCCTTCCACGCCCTCCTCTCCAGGGTCAGAAGGCCACTTGGGTACCTACCCAAGTTGGGTCTCAGGCAACTTACTTCTCTGCTTGTGTCTTTTATTTTGTGTGAATGAACCAAATGTTCTTTAAAGTATCATGAATTCAGGACTGGCGAGATGGCTCAGTGGCTAAAAGCACTGACTGCTCTTCCAGAGGTCCTGAGTTCAATTCCCAGCAACCACACGGTGGCTCACAACCATCTGTAACGGGATCCGATGCCCTCTTCTGGTGTGTCTGAAGAGAGCGACAGTGTACCCACATAGATGAAATAAATAAACAAATCTTGAGAAAATAGAATGATCACATGAGCAAAGTTCTCATGGGTTCAAGCTGAATATAATCACAATGACAAAAACATGTTTTTTATAATCTGAAGTAAGATCACACGTCTCTATGCCTGAAACACAAAAGAAAGTTCTGTGGTTTTGAAGAAACTCAGATCACAAGACCCTGGTCTTGGTTTGTTTGTTTGTTTGTTTGTTTGTTCGGGTTTTTTGTTTTAATTTTCTCACAAGCACTCAAAACTCCTCTCACATGATCCATTCTTGGACTGTGTTCCAACAGCAGCCCGTCCTTTCCTTTGTTGTAAATATGAAGGGGCATTTGATGAAGATGCTAACAAATCAGACAAAGGCTACAGTACAGTTAAAGCACTTGCCTCACGGTGGGAGAAGCCCTGCGTTCCATCCTCAGTCTTACAGAAACTAGAGGGAGGAGAGAGAGCACACCCGTGCAAACAAACTCACTAGGAGCCATAAGCAGAGAGGACACAAAGAGCCTCTCCTCATTCTTCTCGGTGCGTAACCTGAACGTTCACCTGCATGTTTCATGAGGTTGTTACAAATTAAGACTCATTTTCTTTAAATAGAAGATGAGCCAAGTAGCTATATTAGATCCACACGTTTAAAAGCCTGCCTTGATTGCCCTCCGTAATTTCTTCTCTTCCAGGCCGTCTACTGTAATTCATTTCTCATGGTTTTCTTTTCCAATGTCCCTAGAAAAGCTTGCTAACACTCTTGTTTCTATTGGAAAAGTAGGTCAGGGTTTTTTTTCCTGATAGAAAATAGGTCTGACTTGGTTCACCGGTGTGACAAGAAGGATTAGGTCACGTGGAGGACGTGTGCCATAAATAGAATGTGCAAAGTCTGCAAGCACACAGTCGCAACAAAAGTACATTTAAAACGATGATGTGGGGAAAGCATTTTATCAATATTAAATTGGTGAGTGATGGGGAGGGGGTGGAAAGCACTGAAATTTGCATCTCAATGTCCCAGACCCCTTCTGAATATATTAGACTTAACAAGGTGACAGAGAATCACAGGTAAGTGGCAGCCCCTTGATTAAGTGGTGTCATAAACACCATAACTCAGGATGACAGGATGACAGATCCTTCAGCAATCCAAGTGCTTTCTAGTCCTTTGCTTTAAAACACTTGAATGAAAACCTCATTGATTAGACAGCTGATGAGACATTAAGACCGTTCTCACAACTTTAAATTTTTTTAAAGTGTCAGATTTGAAGGATATTACTTGGAAATTCAGAATACTGTTTGCTGTGATTTTAATTCATTCAGTTTCTTTCTAAAAAAAAAAGGTGTATTTATTTATGTATGTGAATACAGTGTTGCTCTCTTCAGACACACCAGAAGAGGGCATCAGATCCCATTACAGATGGTTGTGAGCCACCATGTGGTTGCTGGGAGTTGAACTCAGGACCTCTGAAGAGCATCCAGTGCTCTTAATCACTGAGCCATCTCTCCATTCAGTTTTCTTAACACACCCACAACAACAAAGCTAGAATATAACTGAGTCTAGACTGCCACAGTGAATCAGGGGCCTCATGATCTGTGGCTATAGGTTGGAAAAGCCCTGATCAGCCCATTAGGAAGTACTAGGTCAATGAGATTTTGTTACCGCCAGTGATGTAGGAGCTGGAGAGATGGCTCAGTGGTAAGAAGCACTGACCGCTCTTCCAGAGGTCCTGAGTTCAATTCCCAGCAACCACATGGTGGCTCGCAACCATCTGTAATAGCATCTGATGCCCTCTTCTGGTGTGTCTGAAGACAGCGACAGTGTACTCATATACATAAAATAAATAAATAAATCTTTAAAAAAAGAAAAGAAAAATGGTGATGTGTGGAAATCATGTTATTCTAGAATATTACTAGCAAAGCCTTCGACCAGACTAAGTTTTGATTCGTAAGACATTTTATAATATTAGAGAAATTAGGATGATCACAACTTTGAGAAGAAAAGGAACATTATATGGAGTCAACTTCTCTGTCCAGATGAAGACTCCATTCAAGAAAGAAGGCTTTCTGAAGGGCTAGGAGCTTGTTCTCCTGCTAAATGGAGGCAGAAGTGAAGGCAGAGTGGGGAGCCATGCCCCTTAAGTCAGACCTCAGCAGACCATCGCTCACACCTCCACAGATGTTCTGGAGCTGTTTGTAAGCAAGAGTTGGATACATGGAGAGCCAGAGCAGTGGCCCCAAAGCTGGAAACCTGGGGTGAGGTTCCAGGAAGGAGAAGATGTGCAGGCAGAGTACATGTACTAGAGCCCAGGGCTGCACAGGAGGAAGAGGCTGGGACGATTCAGAGTAGCTACAAATGTAGATTCTAAAGGAGAAATGTAAGGGTTAAGAGATAACAAGATCAGAGTTCCTGCTGCAGGTCCCTTCTGAGCCCGGCCCAGGACCTCCCCAGTAGAGGTGAGGGAGATAGGATTTGTAACCAGGTTGTTCGCAAACTCATCACCCCACAGGTAGATTTCCAGCAGATCCCACTGCTCTGAAGACCCCAGAGCGCTCCCTGAACAAGAAGGCCATTGATGAATGCTCAGCTGCAAGCCCAGAGCCTTCCTCTGCTCTGAATACATCCTGCCCCTCCGCCTCAGTCTCCTTAAACAGCAGGACATGGATTTCTCCTCAGCAAAACAACACAGAGACATCACACGAAAATGTAGATGAGGACTTACGTGGAAACGGGGATATTTTTAAGTGAAGTCAGGAGGATCTGTGTTTTCTTTCACCCTGAATTAATCAGCTTCATGTGGATGCCTGGGTGTCCCAGAGAGATACGGAATCTACTCCAGACATGAATTTGCCTTTTGTTGTGCACTCTAGAACTTTCCTTATAAGCATCACCTCATCCTAAGTGACCTGTGCAGTAAATTTTTTTTTCAGAAAATCATGAAAAGGATATAGTTGAGATCTGTCTTTTCCTGGCATGTGCCAGATTTCCTGATATTTAGCTGTCATCTACGTATTGTCACCTGCCAGGCAGGATGCTGTCAACCCTGTCACTTAGTGCCTCATCCTCTCTAAGTGGATGAGTGGCCTGTTTAAGGCTGCGCTGCACACAGCTCCCATCACCTGCCCGCTGTGAATGAAAGGGAAGGGGATCTCTTTATAACTACCCATCCGTCTGTTTATATGGACGCTGTGGATGTCTAGCTGATGTCTAGCAACAAGGATGGTGACCCAGTTATGGATGACCTGAGTTCCATATTAGAATTGGACTGTTTTGATGTTGTTGTTTGTTGTTTTCAGCTTTGTGCTTACTCTCTGGTGACAACAGTGAGAGACCAACCACAGTGTGCTACCAGCCCCATAGCAGGCTCTCTCTGGCCATCCAAATGGCCTGAAAGCCCATGCCAGGCCTTTGCATAGGACACATTACATCACCGGAAGATAACAAGGCTCTTTGTGGTGGTTTGAATATGCCTGGCTCAGGGAGTGGCACTATTTGGAGGTATGACCTTATTGGTGTAGGTGTAGCCTTGTGTCACTGTGGGCATGGATGTAGCGGGAAATATTATAAAAGGCACCATCCCACGCTAGCGCCAGCTACTATCTGGCCCTGGTGTTCTCGCCACCTCCGTGGCTAGCCCATGTAGCGACCACCCATCTCACGGTTCTCTTACTGCAGATTGTAACCCGGTAAAATCAAAACCCTAGAGGCTTGTGATTTATCAGTCAGATTTATATTAGTAGATTCTCAGCCCATAAAATGCCTGCACAGTAAACTCAAAACTCAACTGATATAAACACAGACTACACCCCTAGATGAGGTAAACACACCCTACTTATTTAATAATCAATCTAAGAAATCTCCAATACTTAGGGCTCCCAAGACTGTGGTTCTGGTTCCTCTTCCTATAAGTTATGTCTTCTCCTTTCCTTCCCATCTCTCTCCTCTGTACTCTCTGCAGCATCTCTAAAATTCTCAGCCCGCCTTCCTTTTCCATTGCCCAATCACAGGCTTTCACCTTATCTTGTGCCTGCCCTCACCTGCATATAGACAACAGTCCACACGTGGGCTTTGAGACCCTCAT